ACTGCTTAGCTGCAGAAGTAACACGCGACACAGACCGGGCGAAATTATACGTACCACGGCGCCCATGTCACAAATAACGAAGACGTCCGCGTTCGGCACCGTCACATACCTTTCGGCCGCCTCGAAGCGGCGGGGCACGGACAGCGATTGCCAGCGGTGGAGTTCAGATTTGTAGTACGACTTTAATAAACACAGAGGTAACAAACCATCACTTGCGCGGTCGTTGCCTGACCACTTCTTGCTTTATTTCACGGGAAAACGCCGACGGAATGCAGTGCAAAAAGGTAAACAATCACTGGCTGCAGAATGAATAGGCCTAACCTTGCGTCTGCCTCCGGTTTTTCTGTCGTTCCTTTTCTCGTTCTTCCTCTCGCGATCACAGAGTCAGCGCTTACGATTTGCCACGCTCCACATTCCCGGCTTTTTATCCCCGATCTACGCGAAGTAGAAGCGTTCGAGCCGTCACAATCCAGAGTAAACAACCGACGCACCCGAACAGATCGGACTCCACGACCCGACCGGCCCGCCGACCTCTCCAACCTCACCGCGCAGGCGCACCGCCGATTTAGACGGAAGTCACGTGGGCCGCTCTGTCAGCTTCCGGAGAGATCCGTGAAACCCCGCAGAGCAAGTTCGGCGGAGTTTGGGGCGCTCCGTGGAGCGGGCGCTGCCAGAGATCTACGAGCGGAAAATGACCAACTTGAGCCAGATCTGCGAGCGGAATATGCGCGCTCCAAATGGAGCGCTTTTGGAGCGCTCGAGATCTGCGAGCGGAATTCACCATAAGCCATAGAAAACGGCACGTGACCACGGAGAAGAGAGTGAGCGCGACTCAAACCGGCCAGTTCAGCGCTTTTCGGGCGGAAAGAAAACGAATTCCGAGCCGCGAATTGTTTTCTGGGCAGTTGGGCTGTCATATGTTATGTAGAAATAAACACTTAGGCGAACATAAATACCCTGTCAGTGTCCCTTTAACGTCATCTGTGCTTGAGTATTTTCATGAAGATTTTTTATCTCGCATTCGCTTGTTTTGCATTCTTCTTTGACTGAGGTTTGACTTTTTTTTACCCCATTTTTTTTTTACTGAAATATCCTGCAACTGGTTCAATCTTTTCTTAGATTTCACGTAGACCCTAGAGGCTTTATATGCATTTAAAAGAAATATTATGTAGGAACATTGACATGTTGAATAGAGAACTTTCAGGTCATTATTAAAATTTTGTAAAAGTGAACCTCGTAAGCACCTGATTAGGTTGTGAAACCAAGCGCTGGTTCCCAAGACTGCACCAGGTTTCTAGCCCCAGGACGCTGGCCCAGGAATCTAAAAGCAGCGTGAATCGCAATCAAACCTAGATTATTTTTTTTCAGTATGAACGATAACAGAAAATGTAGACACTCATAAAATTACGGGGTACGAAAACTAAACGAATACGGAGTTTTCATTTCTGCAAACGGTTTTATTAGATAAAATAACGAAAATAGTATTTATTACCCTCGGATGAGTAGCGGCACTGCGTAGCCCCTTAGCCCGTACCGAAAGGCTCGCGGTGACGCAAATGTTTACAGCATGCGCACAATACACACGCACAGAAATATGAAGCGATTTTTATCATTAATAGTACTGCAGTCAGCGTAAAAATGCAAGCTTAGCGCCAACCACATTGACGCTTCCCCGATTAGGAAGAAAAAGTATCTTGCTTTCTAGGCCGCCTAATGTTTTTAGCGCCCGGAGGCCAAACCCTCCCGAAAGCTCGCCTAGTAAAGATATTAAAAAAGTAGGGAATCATTTGAAATCGGGGAGAATATAATTGCAATATGGCGGTTTGATATGATGATTAAAAACGACTTGCAATTCCTGTGAAGCCGAAGGGTAGACAGACACTAACGAGACACTGACCGATAATGCAACTCGGTAGGGACAATTGGGACGATTACCAAAAGCACTTTTAGGATCCACGGTTAGACGAACGGATTTGGAGAGGGTTCAGGACCGTCGGATGCGATTGCGGGCTCTAAATGAGGTCATTGCCACACTTATATGACGAGAAAAGTCCACACGATCGGCATCCCGCCCGTTCCACCTGACCGAGACGTCGAGACGCTTGGGAACATCCAGAGGGCGCCTCCGTCGGAAACCGGAAGTTAGACGTGGGGTAAGGATGGTTTTTTGGAGCAGGAAAAAGATTGCGCACACGATTCCAAGATACAGGGGTTTTAGGTACCTTTAGAGTAACCGTACATTCTCTGAATATACAGTTACTCTAGATGGCTTTACTTTCATAGCTACGCATTGATAACTGCTTCATGTCCCCTCTCTAATTCTTTAAAATAATTTGTTTTATCTTGAGGATCTTGCTGTTACATTTCTTTTATGCAATACTCGCAGCGTAAGTCGGTTTTGTAGTTGGTAGTCGATCGTCCTTCATGTAATTTATTTACTAAAAAGTAACAAAAAACTATACTGGGGTAAGCCTCCAGGACTGTCCCTTATTAATTTTTCTGTAATCTGTATAAATCGCATTGCTTAATCAGCTGGCCAGGTATACGATCTAGTAATTTTTTATCGCAGCTAGCATATATTAAACCGCGCTAGATCTCTTCCAGCTGCTGGACACAGGAGCAATATGGCTGGATCGTAATCCGCAATTTGACCTACGTACCCAAACTAAGTTTAACGTAAGTAAGCGAAGTATAATGTGGATGTGCCTAACATACCCAAGTTTAGGCAGACAACGTTTTTTTTTTTGGTGATATGTGCGAAGAAAGCCTACGAATGATCAAATTTATAACATGGAATTTCATAATCAGAAAATGCGAGTTTCAAAATCAAAGCATTGCCAAGGCTGCGGGTTTTGAGAGCACGAAGCTCGAGCTGTTCAAGCTATTTTTCGCCCGTGCGTTAGCTTTGAAAGTGTTTCAAAGGTCACTGACAACCCCAGCATTGATATTTGTTTACTTTCGGGACCGACCGCAAATGATCCCTAGACATCGTCCTAAAATATTTAGCTTGGGAACGACGGACTTGCAGAGGAAAACAAATATTTTTTTAAAGAAGAGCCGTATTTTCAAAGTTTCGCCAGAATCATTGACGCAGATGGCGGAATGGTGCACTCCTTGCATTTATTTATTCACTTCAAACCGGAAATGTCATTTAACTTTTTTTCTTTCCCTCCAATCTATCATAGTAATCACGGGCGCTCGCGGCTGCCAACTGGCCAATAGCACGCTTATTGTTCTGTGCACTTACACGTGTGCTTTCCCCGAGTGCAGATAACGTGGTCCTTTTTAGTTCGATTTTTATAGCAGTGTTTTGTTCAATCAATCTTAAACGATTTTTTTTTTATATAGGTAGAGAGGGAAATCATGTGTTCCAGGCTTTGGTGAGCGACGCAAGGCATAAACCGAACTCCTTAATCGCTCGAAAGTTACTCCCTCAATCTCAGACAGGCCATCCGTCACGGAATAACAACTCGTTCGAGCTGTCTAAGACTTCCCAATCGTCCCCGTCCATCTCAGCACCCTTGGCACTACCGCCAAGCGCAGCCATATTGAGAAAACGAAAACAACGCAAGCCAGGAAACCACCGATGCCTCGTCACTAACACCTCCGGGTTCCGCGTTTATATATGTTGAAGTCAGCGCAGTAGTGCATTTATAATAGCGGCAAAAGCATACTTGATTAAAGGCCATCTCAGCTCAATTCCGAAAAATGGGGGATTATGAGTGATTAAAAAAAAAAAACACAAATAAAAGGCACGACGTCAATTCGCGAAAAATGGGATGTGTTTTGTGAAATTTTAATGGACACTGACAGGGTATTTATGTTCGCCAATGTTTTTATTTGTTCGTATCATATGGGAGCAGTACTATCCGGAACACAATTTTCGGCTCGAAATCCGTTTTCTTTCAGCCCGAAATCCGTCTATCGAGAACTGGCCAGTTTGAGTCGCGTTCACCCTCTTCTCCGTGGTCACGTGCCGTTCTCTATTTTTTAGACATAACCACTAACTGTGATCAAAGTCGTGGGTAATCGAAGGCATGCAATCAATAATAAATATAGAAAAGGAAAATGATACCCATTTTTATTTGTGGCTTCTAAAAAGCTGTAAATTCGTTGGTAAAAAAAAAAGTTGCACAGACACGTGACTTTTGCCGAATCTCTCCTCCTCCATATTTTTTCTTCTTCCCGAGTTCAGTTTCAGTTTCGGCTTGAAGCAGTTGCGTTTTTTTATTTTATTAAAAATCTACGCGACGCTGTAGCAAAACAATAATCGAGCAGTCTTCTAACACCAAATTAAGTCACCTGGCAAAAAAAATTTTTTTTTGCCTGGGACATTAACACATTTCAATATATAATGAGGGGTGTTAGTGTCCCTTTAAACGAGAGCAGAAACTGAAACCGAAACTTCAGCTCCGTCTTTGCAACACTGGCCTCGGGCCGCCAAAAACATGGATACCACGTGGTATGGCGGTTGCGTGTACCTCTACGTAACGACGAGACGGGATTGGGGCGGGCAACCGTTGGAACCGGCGTGTGCAAAGCGCAAGTGTCGTCTGCACCGGAGTAACGTTTTGGTGATTTCCGACGACGTCTGCACAACCGCGACATGAGTCCGCACACTTAGTGCGAACATGAACGAAACTCCAAAGGGCCTTATGCTAAACGAAGCGGAACCGGGGGACCGGAACGCGTAATGTCGTACGCAACGATTGGACAGCGCCGCTCCCGAAGAGGGACAAAAATCACAAACACGATGCAACGGCGGCGGTTGTGGCAACGCGGGAGACGGCGCTTTGGGCTACGCCAACACCGTAGCCTTGACTGCGCTGCTTACCGCGCATCAATTCGCCGGCTAGAGTCAACCGATTTCGGCAATTTCGCGCGTTTCAAAGTTTGCCGGACCGTTGAAGAAACATTTAGACAGAACAGGGTCGTAATATTTGACCTTTGGTCTTTGAAGGTAATGCGGAAGAGGACTGCAATGTTTTTTAAAAAAAAAAAAAAAACAAACAACAACAACAAAAACAAAAAAATAAATAAAGTGGAGTTTCTTTGTAACGTCGATATTCATTGTAACAAACATACAACTTCCGACGTCTCAAAATTTCTAAAAAGTGCCCCCGTCTACAACGTCATTAAAAAAACATACAAAAAACAAACAAAAACCGAGGAATTCGAATTGGGGAAGACTACCTGGACTCTTAGCATATTACTTTTATTATTTTTTTTTTCTGCAGGTGAAAAACTTTTTTTGTTGCGATGAATATTTTAGGGGTTATATCACGCGCCTTTGAAGTGTTTCAAACAATAAAGAAGATATCGATGTTGGAGTTGTTAGTGGCCCGTTAAATTAAAAAAAAAAAGACTAATTAAAGGCGCCTTACTTCGTTTTGAGCAAACCAGTCCTGTCCTAGAATATAATTGTACAGACACAAAGAAACTGCCACGCTTAGCCAGACAACTGATTTTGGAGGAGTTTATTTTTTTTCCTCTCGGCCAGGCTTTGAGGATGTCACGTGAAATTTGATTACATACTCCGTTGCAGATGCTAAGAAGCACTTTGTTTGCTGTTTCCGACACGCAACGAGATTCCTTTCAGGTTTCACCCTAAGTAAGTCATCTATCGTGACTCATGATGACTTGTGCCGTGTGTTCTAGCCTGATGATTTTGAACCAGTTGTAATTGCTATTCGTGATCTGCTTGAGTTGTTTCTCCTTGATGTTGTTATGTACTTCATTGCTCCGCACGCCTGGCTCACTTAGCGGCACGTTTGGTGTGGAGAGTGGGGGAAGATGGAGGGTTGGTTCGGCTCACATTGATTAGACTAGGCTCTCAATATCGGAGTCGATTCTCGATGATCTCGTGCACGTGATGTTTTTGATGGCTTCGTCCCGAACCACGAATGTTTGCTCGGGCGATCCCTCCGCAGTTATTGAGAGTACGGCCACCGATCACATTAGGCCTTGGCGTCGTCGCTCACACTGCTCGAAGTGGCCGGGGCGCTCGTACGCTGCAAAAACACGTTGACCTGATATTTGATCTCCTTGCGCAGGTATTCGATCATTTTCATCGATTCGTCGCGTTTCTGCTCGTCGTCGCCACTCTTCTTCAATTGGTTCAGCAGGTATTCCAGCCTCCAACGCAAGGCAAACATGAGCACAGCGAGTCCCATAGTTCGGTCAGCCAGGGTAACTTGAGGTTCTGCATAGGCGAGAGTAGGGAAAAAAGAAAAGTACGCGTTAGTGGGTCAACGATGGAAGCGATTCCCATATACAGTCCGTTTCACTTCAAGCCCTCGGCCGTAGACACTGCTGCGATCTAATGGAACCGATGGAGTGGCGTCAAAAGTGCCTAGTCACGGCGTATATCGTCTCTGTACGTTTGCCGTCACCGACTTAAACAATCACGCGCAATGAAGGTGAGCCGCCGTGATCCGGCGCTTTTCCTGTGATTCATAGCCGGTGACAGGAAACCAACGAATAAAACGAGCACCTAGACGATGCATTGCTGGGACTGGTTGATTGGCGCCATCGCGTTGTAGCCTTGGGCGCGGTGGGACTCGAAGAATGAAACGGGGTTACCGAAAATGTAGGTCGTGTTCAGTCCCGCGGATCCTGTAATTGGTTTGAGCCAATAAAATTACGTCATTGGCCGATGAGCACGTCGAAGAACCAATCAATAGCCAAGATGCGCGAAGACACGAAGTCACGCCCCTCATTTTTTAAGTTGACAGCGACTCTAGGCGAACTTACTGGGCGCAGCGAGGGCCAGGACGGAGAAGGCCATGACAGTCGGAAGCCGCCGCATCTGCGAATTGAAGGGAGATTTTTCGGGTCATAAAATTACCAAAAGAACGCTGTGATTGGCTGGGATTGGTGCCCGCTTAGGGACAGGGCTTGATTATAAAGATACAAAAGGTTCTTATTCTCACTGTTTCACTTTGTTTGCATAGAATTCAGAATAAAGTATATGCCACCCCCCTCCACTTATACCTTAAATGTTTTTTTTTTATGTTGGATACTTGGAAATACAGCTACGCACTTGAGCCGTGTAAATAATATTTTTATATAAAAGTCCGTTCTAGTGCTAGAAAATAGGGATTCAGAATAACGTGGTACGAACGTTTTAGACGGGAAAAATTAAGACACGAAGACTAACAGCACACAGGGCGTTCTTTTTGGGCCATTTTTTTGAATAAACAGTTTTAAGGGAACTACCGAAATTCTAATTGATTTGCGTTCTATGATACCGAGGTAATTACAGTCCACGAGGAAATGATAATATTTTGTCAAGAAAAGCAGTAATTTATAACTTTGGGAATCTGTCCTATAAGATTCAATGAAAAAAACAATTGTCGCACTGTGGAATAAGAACTGTACTCGTGAAAAAAGTTTAAGTATACTGCTTATTAATGTTATAGAATTGTGAACATTGGAATGTTTGTTGTTCAGTGCAAATTATCCCTTTAGAGATGCACTAAGGCTTTCATGTCCAAGAAAGTTGGGGATGAATAAGATTAAGCGTATATGCACGTTTGCATTAGCTTAATATTTCTCTTATCTCTACATCAAGTGTTAGTGGAAGCATTGACAGTGATGTCCGCGTGGCAATTTACAAAACAGATTTGCCCTTGACGCTTCCAGACAAACTTTCAGAGTGCATTCCTTCAAAATGGGTCGGCCTGCAAGATGGACTGCCTGCCGAAAACATGGAAGGCTAGAAATTCAACCACAATTCGCCTTTTGAAATATATTGCAAACGGTACATGAGTCATTCTCACAGAGGAAATGTTTGGACGAATGTTTCTGGTACATCTCACATTAACTAGGACAACTTCGGTGCTTGCTGACGTGCGACAACCAACAGGGACGCGACCTCTACTTCCTTTGTAAGAGAACTTTGTGGAATATATGCTGATGTGAAGGGTCCAAAACGAATGACACATAATAGAAGGAAAAAAGTACTCTGCATTCATCCACATTTTTGGTGCTTTACATTAAGCTTCTTGTTGGTGATTTGAACTAAGCTTGGTGTTTGCTCCGTGTTTCCCCCGTTCTCATGTAATTGTGGGTGGAAACCTTTCTGTTACGCTCTGTTTTCTCTTAAGAGCTGTACAATACGGGACGCGTTATCTGCAGCTCTTGATAACTGTATCTGCCGTTCAGAAGCTCTCTCATCGCATCACATTCGTTAGGCGCATTATCTCATGTATGCATAACTCAAGTAGGTAAACAATCTGCTTCGATGCAAACAAACTAATATGCGGAGGCGTAATGCGTACGGTTCGCTCATAAATGTAAGAAAGCAAAACCAAAAGGGTGCAATATGAACCTTGCTACACGTGCCGCTGGACTGCGCGAGCAATATTATTTCTTAGGGGCGCGACGAAAGTTACGCTAATCTTGAATCGTGAAAAAATAAAGAATAATAGGTTCTGAAATTAAAACAAAAACCTCTTGGTGGGAAAATGTGACCATAACAAAACAGCAAATTGAAGCCAAGTAAATTTTTTTGTTCTTGAGTTTTGGGCTTCAAAATGGTAGAAGGTAGGTCTTCGGATTTGTTCAGTTTTCACGAGTGACACAATTTGTTTGTTTGTTTTATTTCGGACACAAGATCACAAGGAGAAACGACAAAAGACAGATAAGATCTGCCCGACGAGGCCCAGTCCCCTCAGTACACATCATCAGCAGTCAATAGAAAAAACAAATACAAAACATTGAAAAAAAAACATTGGCAAGAAACAGCAGTGCTATATCATTGATACCATTACCTCCACAAGGATTGAAATTACACCTCATATTTTATACAGTCGCTAAAATTGACCAGTTCATAATACTATACACAGTGTATGTAAAGACAAATTGACGTTCAAATTTATTCCGAACAACATCACAGAAGATACCTTTTTAAATCGTATTTGAAGCTGCAACGTGAAGCACTATTTAGTATTATTCCCATAACATCTGGATGTTTGCTTATGAATTGAGGTATCATGCATTTTAGTTTCTGGGTTCCATAGGTTGTTCTTAACCGAGGTATCCTATAGGATTAATGCCTTAAATCATATTGAGCATTATTCCAAAGGAATCTATAAAAAAAGTCTTTTGGTCGTTAATTATGTCGTTCCGTATGTAAATTGAAAGTTTTATATCAAACATTTGGTTAACGTTAAGCAAATTGTGCTTTAAAAAGTGCGGAGCAGTAAGGTTCATGAAATTTAGATTATCTATGCTGAGTATTGACTTTTTTTGCATAATAAAAAACCTTTCGAGGTTTGTCCTAGGTGTCGATCCCCAGACTAATAAAGAGTAATTAAGTTGAGAATGCACTAAGGAGTAATACATTTGCAGTTTTAACCAATCTGGAATCAAAGATCTAGCTTTGTATAAGCCGCCAAGGGATCGAAAGATGTTCTTATGAATTTTATTTATATGGGGGGGGGGGGGGGGGGCTCCATGATAAGCCCCCTTCAGAAAGAAAACCTAAAAACTTATAAAGGGAGACTTGTTCAATTACACTGTTTTGGAACTTTAAGATAATATTACAGTCATCAAGTTTATTTCGTGGCTTGAAAATTACATATTTGGTTTTGCTCACGTTAACCTGTAGCTGATTTGATCCCAGCCAGGAACACTGCTCCCATAGCCACATGCTAGCCACAGTTTCAAGGTCCCTCAAATGATTACCAGAAAAGAACAAACTCGTATCGTCCGCACATAAAATTATATCCGGAGTTTGCGGGATGTTTACAATGTCATTTATATAAATAATAAAGAACAATGGTCCCAGAATAGACCCCTGCGGAACCCCATACGTGATTAGTTCAGGCATTGATCCGTAGCCATTTAGACATGTATACTGCATTATATTCGATGGATAGCTACGGATCAGTTCTTGCGCCACACCTCGGATTCCATAAAAAGGAAGTTTGTGAAACAGGATATCGTGTTTTATTGAATCGAATGCCTTTTTAAAGTAAAAAAATACCCCAACAGTGAATTTTTTTCTTTAAAAATTATTTAACAACTGTTTTTTAATATTTACTAGCGCCATTTCTGTAGATTTGTCCCCCGGAAATCCGTATTGTCCTTTTACAAATACACGTTGTTCACCAAGTAATTTAATGATTCGAGTTTTTATCACATGTTCAAGTACCTTTGAAAGCTGTGGAAGGACAGATATGGGCCTGTAATTGTTAATGTTATCAAGAATGCCTCCTTTGTGTACATAGCTACTTTGGCGATCTTCCTGCCATCTGGAAAAGTTCCTGTAGCCAAAGCATTACTGCATATATGTCGTAAAGGGGAACACAATAAATCTGCGACAGCTTTGATTGGTTCAGCTTTGATATCATCGTCTCTTGCCGCAGTATTATTCCGTAGGGACCTCAGAAAGACAAATATTTCACTTTCGCTGCATGGGATCAAAAAGATAGAACTTGAGACTTTAGGAAAAACATATCTGCCCAAGTCATGCATCGAATCCGCTGCTCCTAATGCAGCGCCGGAGCCCCAAAAATGAGAGTTGAATTTTTCCGCTAATGAAGCATTGCTATACTGATGACCTTCAAAATTAAGAGTATGGGGGTCTTGTTGTTCGATTTACCAATAAGCCTTTCCATTTCCTTTCAAATTTTCTTAGGGTCGTCCGATACGGCAATGAGCTTGTTCTTATAGTATTCTAACCGTGCTTTCTTTAAATCTGTGTTTAATTTTTTTTGTTTATTTTCAATTATTATTGCCTGGTCTTTTGATCGGATAAACTTGTCAAATAATTTATTTCGTTCTGTATTTCGTTTATAAGCTCACGGCTGCTCCATGGTTTTCTAGAGCTTTTGTGCCTTCTTACAAGACGTAGAGGGAATGCACTGTCATAGCTATTTTTATTTTACGTAGAAATATGTCAAAGGATAAATACGGGTTTTCTTCACTATAAACATCCATCCCAACTTATTCCTTCAACTAGAGAACGAAACGTAGCAAGGGTGTCCATACAAAATCTCCGCTGGAATATGGGCGTATCCGAAGTGCGTCTCTTTTCCCTTTTAGCTCGCTGAAAAAAACTAAATATTGGAAGGTGATCACTTAGATTAAAAGCCAAAATGCCAGACGAAATATCAGTGGAGTCATAGCTGGTAATACATACGTCGATCAGAGTTTCACTTTCTAGAGTTATTCTGGTTGGTGAATGAATCACATTTGCGCAGCCAAAAGATTCTATGATATCGCGGAAATGTCGGCATGTAGGGCTTGATGATAGCATATCAATGTTTATATCACCTACTTTAATGACTGGCAAATTCAAAGAGGACGCGTATAATCAAGGACCTCGCAAAAATATTGAAAAAAAGTTATTATTTCACTCTACGGAGGGCGATAAATTGAAGCGATTAGTGTATCAAGACACTTCACGACGATCGATTCGCAATGATCACTAACGTATGAAAATTGAGAGAGGATGATATACTGAAGATTATCCTTATGATAAAGAGAAACTCCCCCTCCCCTGCGATTTGTTCTATACACACCTTAAGACTTACATCGTGTAAAATGGACTATATCACGATCACTCAGGAACCATGTTTCTGTAAATGCCAATATATCAAATTTGTGATCCAGTTTACCCAAACACATCTCAGTTTCAAGCCATTTGTTTCTCAGACTTCTAGCGTTTACATGAAAGACCGACATACTGGCATTTGAAGTCTCGCAGTGTCTATTTTATCTTTTCCAAAACAATGATAACATTTTACTGCTTTAATACTCCATATAGAAGGTTAAAGTTCCCTAGAAGTGTTTTTTTTT